TTTGTTTGTTTGTTTGTTTTAACCCCTGCAGCACACAAACATGCCACAGCCTTCATTCTTCTGCACAAGAGGACACATGTCTTACCAATAAAAACTAATAGATGGAGGGACGTCGCTCATCCTCTCCTGTGAGGTTTAAATCGTCATTTAACGGAGCTCAGGTCCATTTAAAAAGGCAGAACTGGTTCCGGTGCTGGCTGATGGCTACAGAGCCGTGTTCAATAGATTTAATATTAGAACTAATTTAAATGTTTTTTTTTGTTTGTAGAGAGGAGAGGCAGCAGGACGCGCGGCTCCCGGTTTCAGATGAAGTCCACTTCAAACTCCTTGGATGACAACAACCGCCCCTGTCACTCAGACGCGTCCTAATCGACCGCCGTCCAATCACACAGCGCTTTACTTTTTACCGGACTTTTGGGACCAATCACGGCCGCTCCTTCATCCCTCCGTTCTCCCGCGGAGGGGCGGAGACACGACCTTATTTGGCACTTATGCCCGTATATGGAGCGCCGCCAGGGGAGGGCAGCCGTACGAGGCAGCCTGCTGCTGACACTTTCCCCAAATTGTAGCTTTGACTCTCAGAGACAGGACGCGCAGTCGGAGGGTGAAGCGAGACACTCGAGCGGCGGCTGAACTCTCTCCTGTGTCCAGACTCTCCCACACGGACGGACATCAGGCAGCTCGGTGGTCTTTGAGCCCCGTGTTCGGTAAACTGATATCGGAGCGCACGCCGACGACGCTTTCCAAATCCTTACCGCGGCGCGCAACAAGACCAGGGACCGGGATTTCCTTCTGCTTGCGCTTTACGCCGGGACTCAGTGAACCTTTAACCGGGTAAAATAAAGGACATGCGGTCAGTCTGAAGTCAAATTAGCGGCTGAAGAATTCACCTTGAGCGGTTCCTCTGAGCGAGCGGCTGAGGAGAGGCGACTCGTTTGTATTTATTTGGTTGCTTTCTATTGAGTGGCATTTGTCTTGTTTCACACTGTGGAGGAGAGCAAACAGAGCAGGTTTGAGTTTCAGGCTCTGACTGACTGACTGCTGGACGGACTTTCTCGAGAGGTTCCACTCTGAGGAACAACGTGTTTATGGATTGCTGCGCAGCGAGGAGCACCGGGAGTTGTAGGCTGAGCCCTCACGCATCGATCATGTTGATACCTCGCTGTTGCTATAAACTTTGATAGATGTTTACGGAACGATTTCAGTCAGACTGAAAACCATTTGCAGAATTAAGCTCAGATAAGCTCAGACTGACCTCTGGGGAAAGTGGGAAGCGCCTTTTCGCCCTCCCTCATTTTTTTTTTCTCTCCCAAGACGTCAGGACGGATCTCTATCACGCAGTCTGACTCTCCTTCTGTGATTTAAACAAAGACCAAGTGTTTGGGGATAGCATGGCAATGGTAGTAAACCAGTGGCCAGAGAACATTTCTGCAGACCCCGGGTCTCAGCTCCAGATATGCGGCCAGGAGCCCGGCGGGGCACCGGGGACACCCAACGGGTCCACCCCGGGGAACGACGCACTTTCCGGGGACAAGATCCCTAACGTGGACTGCATGGTGTGCGGGGACAAGTCCAGTGGGAAGCATTACGGCCAGTTCACCTGCGAGGGATGCAAAAGCTTCTTTAAGCGCTCGGTGAGGCGGAACCTGACGTACACCTGCCGGGGGAACCGGGACTGTCCCATCGACCAGCACCACCGAAACCAGTGTCAGTACTGCCGGCTGAAGAAGTGCCTCAAAGTCGGCATGAGGAGAGAAGGTAAGGCCTGTGAGTGTGTGATGCATTTTACTTTGAACTTGTGGCACAAATTCATTAATTTGCTGTGCGTAAAGGTGTGCGTAAAGGTGTGCGTAAAGGTCGGCACTGTAAAATATCGATCTATCAGGCAGATAGGTCTGGTAGTCAGCCGTAAAAAAATTTTACTGTTGAAAACAAGTGACCAACTCTTCACATAGGGCTGTTTTATTACTTCAAAAACAACAACAACACAGAAATATGCAACAAAACATAGTCAGGCCGATTGTCCCCGTTTGGACCATGAACAGATAATTTTGGACACCGACTGATTTGGATTACTTCACCACACTGGTAGATTTCCTCTGGCTGCCAGAAAACAATACATCTCAGCCTAAACGTGACGCTCTTGTCGTTTTTGTTTGTTTGTTTTTTAAAAAAATATAATCGAATTTCTAACCAAAAATAAATAAATAAGAAAAGTGCTCATTACAAGTTTGCGCGTAAAACTCTGCGTCCTGTGATGTGGAACACGCACTCCTTCATGTTCGGTGCAGTTTTAAACCACTGTGTCTGTTGTTATGTGCAAATAATCAGTCACCACCTGCGCTGCCACAATGCCTATTTCACATTCATTTCCCAAATCCTCCCTTTGTCTCTCCGTTTTAATTATGCTGCTGTTTGCTCACCGACACCCCGAGCCGCTACAAGAGGATGCCGCTACATTTGTTGCATTGTGTTGGATTAACAACGGGTCAGTTGGTGCCAAAGAGGAGCAGTGGAAACGTGTTGGAGAAGAGCGGAGCTTCCCTTATTAATTATCATTCAGCAGGCAAGCCGCGGTGCGCGTTTCAAATGTGGAACAAAGTGAGGAACGGTCCACTCCTCTGGCTGCTCGCGCTGGTTCCCTCAAAGCGTCGTCTGCTTCTGCTGGTTTGTAACCAAAAGTAAAGCTTGTTAACGATTGATTGATTGATTGATTGATTGATTGACTGGGGAAACAAATGTAATATTCACGCAAACCGCCTCGTGAGGCCACAAGTCTGTAAAGAAGATGTCACGCTTTTGATTCCCCCTCAGAGGACAGGAGGGTCAGCGGCGTCCTGCTCAAGGACATCAGGACAGACAGTCTCCACAACAGCCCCGCAGCTCTTTGTTCTTTGGCTGAGCCACAGTGTAAATACAAAGACGCTGGAAATACCCGCCCTGACAGAGCCGAGCCGAGCCGAGCCGAGCTCCGATGATCCCTCAAGGGTTCCCGCGAGTCAACTCCTGTGCCTCCGCGTATGTGCGAGTGTGCGAGTGTGTGTGTGTGTGTATGTGTGCGTGTGTGCGCGCGCGCTGTACACACCGTGTTACCTCATGTAAAGTAGCCGTGAGCCACACCGACCCGATCACGCTCCTCCGACTCAGTGAACCCGCGGAGGTCTCCTGACGCCCGCAGCGTGTTTACTGGAAAACACTGAAACGCAAAAAAATGTTCATCCTCAAAAGAACTGAAAAGAAGTCCAGAGGTGCCTGTTTCCCCCTCATGGGAACGAGCTCGTTTTGTTGTTTGGAGTCTGGAAGTGTGAAACGTTTTATTCTCACTTTTTATTTTTTATTTATTTATTGCAGTAAAGTGAAAAAGGAATTAGTCTCCTTTACTGATTGGTTCAACAACAAGCACCTTAAAAATCACAAAGTCTCTCAATTATCTGCAAACAAGTGAAAATCTTTTTGGCTGTGTTCAGTTTGAGTGAAGCCCGAAGTGTCTGATTTACTGGCACCCAGCACAGAAAAGATTCTGAATGATCTCAACATGTTAAAGAGAATAAGTCCGTCCCTGGCTGACTGCTTCATATGGAGATATTTTTTTTGTACGCCAACGGCTTAAATGTGGAGCAGGTCAGCAGAACACTGGCTGAACTCATCTGCTGGTGCATTTGAGGTCAGTTCTCAAATCCTCTTTGTTGACTGACTTGTGCTTATCAGCCACCATTTGTTTTGTCTCGTTAGGACGGTTTCTGCTGAGGCAGTTTTCTCACCACACTTTGGGGCAGTTTACAGAAAAGAAAATGATATTTTAAAATGATAAAAGGGGTGAAAGGTGACGAGTGTGTTTGCTTTAAAATGAGCAGAACACAGACGCTCAGCTGGTTTTGAGTAACTTAGTTCACGTTCTGTGAGAAAAAACAAGCAGACGAATGCAAATGAGCATTTTAGTAAATGTAAATATATTTAAAGAAACTTATTTTCGTGCTGCATCCTTGAGTTCCAACTGAGAAGCGTGAGGCCTGGTGAAGCATATGGCCGCTGTCTCCCCGCAGGTCATACATAAGTCATGTTTTCTTTATTATTCAACAGGTTCACCTCAGGTTGTCAAGGCGACGCAATGTTTGTTCTCAGATATGATCCATAGTCAAATGTTTTAAGATACTGTGAGAATGCAGCAGAAGACCCGGATGCTGGAACCCAGTTAGTGGAGCTGGAAGTTGGGCTTGTTGTTAATTATTCAGAGGCCTTTTACTTCCTTCTGAAATGTGCTCCATGGCAGCATGCGGGTCATGATGGGAGTGCTTTTGGATGGAGCGTGCGGTTTCATCCACGGATGAAGTCGGATTTGTGCGGATTATGTTTTTGGATACCACAGTTTCCTCATATAGGAACAAAACAGCAGCCTGCTCTCAGTTATTAAAAATACAACGAGTTTTAATATCACTAGCGTCGCCGTGTGACTCTTCTGTTCAGACCAGATAAATATTTATCTGCCTGAGAAGACATGCTAAAAGTTTCATGAGTGGACCGTGGCAGATTTAGAAGTTCTTTGCTTTCATGTGGGTTTTTTTTTTTTAGTTTTGTTTGTCTCCCAAAGGGGACGTTTGACCTCTTTCTGCAGACTGCTGTGTAGAACATAATATCATTTGTTGGAGACTTTTACCCAGAGCACCTTTCAGCAGCGTGACAGCAAACATCTCAGCGTTAGCCTCAGTAGGAATCAAACCTCTGAAACCTTGGCAGCCTCAGTGTCATTGTCTCATCGCGCAGCTGCACAGAACCTCCACTTGTTTCTCTGTCAGAGCGGTTTCTGGGCTGACGAGGAGGCAGGGAGGCAAAGAGAATCAGCCTGACAGTTCCTTTGAACTGGAGTGAACGTTTTAATTTTGAAACACCCCGCAAGGACGAACCGCCGACTTCACCGAGACACGTGTGGCAGTTTACTGTGATGCTTTTACACGCAGTGATAAGGTCAGCTTGTCTGCCATGAATCGGCTGTGTGCGCACGCAGACACACGGCTAGTCGAATTAGCCGAGTGTACAGTGAGTGGTGTAAATAGAGCCAGCAGCCAGAAATCTGTAATACCCACATTGAACGGCACAGTAGGAGCGCTGCTGCCTCCTCTGACCCATATTACGCTGTGACAAAATACCAACAGCAGCAGGAAATATAGGTCAACCCAAACTACAGCATTAATAACAGAGTGGCTGGAGTCAAAGTCCAAATGTGTGAAGCGTCCGGCGGCCCTCCGGTGAGCAAACAGCCCAGTGCAGCGCTCACAGACAGCACGCACCACTAATCCATAGTCACACAGCCAGCCTGGAGCAGCAGGCATTAGCTCCCAACGCTGCAGTCTGGCCTCACGTCAGCTCGGAAAACCTTCACTTATCCCCTAATTCAGCTATTGACAAATTCAAATACTTAACCTCTGTCACCGCACTCGTGGACCGAGTCATTATCGCGGCCTCTCGGAGGAAGAATGGCTCCCACTGACATGTCGTCCCGTTAAAGGGACACGCTGGAGCCTCAGGTTGATGCTAGTGGGTGAATACGTGAATGATTGTGCCTTTTTGTGAGGCTGTATGTCGCAGGTTTCACAGCGTTTTCCACACAAAGGCGTGTTTTTGTTCCTTTCTCTGCACATCCCACTGACAAAGCAAACATGACCTTCTCAGGTGCATTCAGTCATTCATGCTAACAAGCTGACTTGAGTGGCCCGACCTGTTTTATGTGCCACTCGGGTCACTTGTAATAACACACGGTGGAGAATTTGTCGGTCGTACTGTATTAGTGAGGAGCATTTAACCCCCAAAGAGGCTCCAATCTGCTGCACACTGAAACAGCACTGCGGGGAAAACCCTGCACATTCATATTTCAAGCATTTAGCCGGTGATCTTATTCATGCTCGGTGGGTAGAGGTGTAGTGGAAGTATTTATAGCAGCAGAAGGAAAAGATGAAGCCATAAAGCGCCACTAACAACTGCAGCAGACTTTTTGTCTCCGAGGAATCGGGAGTCAACGGGGACGACTTTGTCCTGCTGTGGCCCCGCTGAGCGGTAAATAAAGAGGGGAGGTGGTGTGTAAATACGCATCAAGAGTCACTGGGAGAATTTAGTTTACTAATTAATTCAGGAACTGTCTCATCAAGTCTGAGAGATGAAGACTGAGGCAACTGCAAGCCGCACAGCGAAGCCGCCGAGTTGCTCACGCGAAGCTCCTCTGCCCTCCACGTCTCTGTCGCTCTGGGTCTGTGTCAGCGCTCTGCCGGCGTCCTGCACCGCCTCCGGTTCTGCTGCGCTCCCGTTCTGCCGTGTCTCTCACGTTCATACCTCGTTCATGTCTGACAGACAGCCGGGGACAGAATCAGTCCTCCTCCAGCGTGCAGGTGGTTCGTCCTCAAGAATCTCTCTAAAGAAAAGAAGAAGAGCAGCGAAGACCAAACACCCTCTGTCCGTCTCTGTTTTCTTCTCTCTGAAATATTAATTTAAGTCCGGCGAGGATAGTAAGACTGGACGTCGTTGTGAACAGCGGACCGGGTCGCAGCATCTCGTTCAGATGTTCTCACTAAACATCTGCAACTAATGATTATTTCAGTCGTTTGGTAGAAAATGGTGAAAATGTCAGTTCTCATTTTTTGGTCCAGATTTCTGTCCCAGACGACAAAAGAACTCAGAAAATATTCACATTTCAGACGCTGGAATCTGAGAATTTAGACTTTCTGTCTTAAAACCTACTCATCAGTCCAGACTTTTTGTGGTTATTGTGT